TTCTCTGGAGCTCTGGAGACATTTCAGGGGCAGGTAGGCACATGTTTGCCAAGCCCTGTCATCAGCAGGAGAAATTTGCTGAGAAAATGTATCCAAGGCTTTCTCAAAAGCCTGGTACAGGTCTTTATGGGATAGTCAGGTGTCAGAAAAGGAAGAATAAGATGCTTCTGTCAAACCACGTTATGTTTCTGAGCGATATCCGTACAGAAGATATGCAAGTGGTGAGACAAGCACCCAGATACAAGATCCTTATTGATACAGTATCAGAATTGAATCTATAGCTGAAGTAACATCTGCAATGTAGAAAGTACATTGCAATATTTGTCAAAGATCATGTCTGTGCTTGCATGTATACAAATATTTGTTCATTTAATTTGACCTGTTACTGTACCCATAGTTTTCTTTGCTGGTTCAGTAACCTTTACATCTGTATATTAATGTTTCAATTCTATAGTTGTCAAACTTCCCCAAAAAATTGTTCTGCCATGTGTTGTATTTTCTAGTATTTCTCTGAGTGCCACCTGGGCTGTGTGTGTGTGTGTGTGTGTGTGTGTGTGTGTGTGTGTGTGTGTGAATGTTTGCACATGGCATCTGACTCCTGTGCACAAACTCTAGACCTACCACTAACTGCTTGAAAGACATTTGAGGTGCAGTGGAATGGCATGAGGTGGAGAGAGAGATAGAGTCCCATCCTTGATCCCAGTGAAAATGCTCATCACTGGTTATTTTGGTGAATGATGTGGTCCAGTAACATTAGGACATTGTCCCTGTTGCAGAGTCTTTTCCTTTAAGCTGGTATTTATATATTTAAAGTAAAGCCTCCTTTCAAATAAAGCCCAGTGTTCAAACAAGCATTTATCCCTTTACAGCGCAGTGCTATTCCTTTGCTGCCATAGTTGAGCTGGATTTGGTGGTAGCATCAGAGGGGAGATGTTCCAGAAGCCATCAATATTCCCTTCATGACATTATTACCTCTTGCTGAATAGAAATAAGGTGTAAAGACAACCTACACACACATTAACCTTCTACTTCCAGTTTGACTCCCACCCTGAATTGCTGAGGCAAAAAATGTGGAGGACATGATACTCTGATGGGAAAAAGCCGGAGCTTTTTTTTTTTTTGGACCCATTTTTTAAAAAAAATGGTGCATTTGATCCAAACATGCTTTGTATAATGGGCCTGGGAGAGAGAGAGATCATAGACAGTGAAATGAGATGAATTAGAAACTGATATTTTGTATCAGTAAAGAACTGCTGTGAACCGGTTGATAAAATTTGGCAGAAAGTTTTGTTCTAACAAAAAAGTTATATATCAAAAACCAGCATTGATGGAATTGCAGTTGTAGTGAAGGTTGTAAACACTGTTTGTCTCTCTTTTGACAGGTAATATTTGAGGCTGAAGTATCTGATGGAAGAAATGGCTACATTGCCATTGATGACATCCAGGTTCTGAGTTACCCTTGTGGTAAGTAGTGATTAAGAGTCACGCTTTTTGCTATCTTTTTCAAGACATGCTCAGTATTGTCTGACAGCTGTTTTCATCATCCAGCCATTAATGTCCTCCCCCACTACTTCTCTCTGGTTTTTTATTTTCTATTTTCTAATAAGAAGAAAGTGACAGGGCTGAAGGAGTGAATTAATTTTATTTCAGTATCATTACTTAAGTAGCCTAATCTAATATTTCTTTCATCCTTCAGAAACGCGTAGCTTACGGATGATTTGAATATCCACTGTTTTTATTGTTGGTGGGATGTCTAGCTTATCTTATCCCTAATATTGAGGGAAGGGAAGAACATTACAATTAACATTTTAAAAAACCTAATAGTGGAGCCTGGAACTAAAATTACTTTGCTGCTGCTTTATTCTGGTTCTTTTATTTTTATATACAGGATATATGTATGAGTGGGTGATACTAGACCACTTAAAATCAAACAAATCACAAGCTCTTGTGGAGGAACCCCACTTCATCAGGCAGAGCACAACCCCTTCATTGATAGTGCAGAAAAATTGTAGTCAGGAGACCAAAAATTGATGGTGCATTTCTGTGAGAAGCGATTTCAGTTCTCTTGAGGCTGTGGTTTCAAGCATCCTTGCAGCATTGTTTGGAGTTTTCATACCCCACTTTTAAGAGTATATATTTTTAATTGCACTTTAATTATCTTGCCCTTTTATTTTGCCTTTTTATTGTATTTTAAATGTTGTAAGCCACCCGGAGACCTTCGGGTAGTGTGGGCGGCATATAAGTTCAATAAATAAATAAATAAATAAATAAATAAATAAATAAGATCGCCAAATGGTGATTTCTCTTAAATGATCTTAATACTTAAGAGAGATCACTTCTCACAGACATGTATCACCTATTTTGGACTCTTGTCTACAATTTTTTGCACTATCCATGGAGGGGTTGTGGTCAGCCTGGGAAAGTGGAGTTTTCTCTACAAAAGCTTTGCAATGTGTTTGATTGTTAGTGGTCCAATAACAGGTATCACCCACTCTTACATTTGTGTAATCTTGGGAACTACGCAGCCTATTCCCTGTTCTTTCTTTCTGTATCTATATACAGTTTAAAACATTTCATAAACAAATCATATGAGAAAATAGTTATCTTGGACTGTTACTCCTGGAACATCCTAACATAACTGGACTATGCTCGATGGTGTATTCTGAGAGCCATAGTCCAGAAAAGCTGATGTTGCTGTCAGTCACAACAGAGGGTAGTTGGCGGCAAAAACACAACACCAATGTCATGTTCAAGTAAAAATCCAAAAAATAAATGTATTGTTTTTTTTTAAAAAATTAATGAGTACCCATTAAATATTTTCAGATTGTTCGTGTATAGATAAGAAGCACAGTATTAAACAGCAAGATTAGGCTAATAATACAATAGCAAGATTAGGCTAATAATACAATAATAAAACAGTAGTGGCAGTATGGCAAACAACTGAGTGTTAAAAGTTGGCAATTTATTTTTATTTTTAAAAATTATCCTTGATGTTTAAAATGGAGCAATGGAGGCACCAGGCTATTCCTTTTGGGAAGGGAATTCCAGAAGTGAAGTGCCAAAAAAAAAATAAAGATCTCTAATTGTCACGTGATGTGCCTGTAGATGGCAGGGGCTCCTGGAGGAAAGACTTAGAAAGACACTGGATAGGCAAATTGATAGGAGGGTAAAACCCAGGCCATATAGAACTTGAGAGTTAAGCACCAATGCTTTGAACTGTACTTAGATTTGGACTGGGATTCCCAGAATTTCTTCAAGTCCTATAGAGATGTTTTCTTGGTTACCTTCACCAGTTTAATAGCCTAGTGGTCATATTTTCAGTCCTATAGTTCCTGGGAGGTTTTTAAAGGGAACACACTTTTAGCCAAGTATGTTTGATGATGCAAAACAATAATACTCCCAGAATAATTTGTAAAAAGGAAGTTAAGAGATGGGGCAGCAACCAGCATTCAGATTTGGGTTTTGTAATAAGCAAAGGAATATTAAGGTTTATGAATAAAGACCCAGAAACTGTAGTTCCATCACATGATAAGAAACAACAACAAACAACAACAACAACATCAACAACAACAAAAAACAAAACAAAAAACAGATTGTTACAGTTGATCATTCAAGGCTATATAAATGGGAAATGGGCTAGTTGGAGAAACACTCACTGGGTGAAAAAAATGCAGCCATAGACTTATATTGCTGGAAAGGACCCAAAGCCCAAATCAGGAAGTCCATAGATAAAACATGTCTGACAGATGTCCATCCAATTTATATTTCAATATCTCGAGAGAAGAAGACTCTTAGTAATTGCTGTATTCTTTTCTGAGGGTTCGCAGATTCAGTGTTTAGCATACTTGGATGCAGTTCCTCTGGCCCTGTAGACTTAAATTCATCTGAAGTAGTTAGGAGTTCCAGGGCCTTCTTTTTACCTGCCTTAGTAGCAACCCCCTCACAGTCTCTTTTATTTGATTTGTGTTTGGTTGAACCCTGTTTTTCGTTTGGATGTTCTACATTTTGTCTGCATCCGATAGCATTTCTTCATTCTTTAACTCCAGCAGAACTTCTGTTTTTTTCCCTCTTGCTCTGATCATCCTTGAAAACACCTTTGTTTGTTAATTTTAGCTTCTTTTGCAAGGCTGATCTTATTCAGAGCTGGATTTCTCTCCATAAATAATAGCAGCTGTTTCTTCTTTTTCTTGGTGGTTTGCCCTTTTTTCTGTTTCCTAAACATCCCCATTTTAAATCTCAGTTCACCTAAGGGCCCCTTATGCATGCACCCTGTATTCTCTAGATGCCTATCAGTTTGCTTTCTTGTAAGAGCTGTTTGGAAATGTGCCTTCAGGATCTAACTTCCAAGAAACATCCATCCGTGGTGAAGGCTCGTCTCCTTCAACATATCTGACTGTACAATCTTACCTACAGTTCCCTAAGTTTCTTGAAACCAGTCCTGAAGGCTAGAATGTGTGTTGTATTGCCCCTACTTTTTTCTTTCCAGGGAAAATGTCAGGTGGGCCCACAGACTTCTGTCAAAAGCTCTACTCTTTTCACTTTGTTTAACAGTTCTTTCTAACTAAGGAGGATCAGGTCAAGCTTATTCCTGTGTTGCTTTTTCCACCTTCTTGAAGATGAAGTTGTCAGCAAGGCAATTGAATAATTTGTTGGCCCTTACCTTATCCACCCATTTAAATTTCCAGATGGAGACCAGTGCCCCTGATTTCTCCCACTACCACCATATCTCTCTTCTTTGAGTGTTTCATATACTGATCTAGACAAAGATGCTTTGCATTCATTGCAGCGCTGCTGTTTAGAGCTGCCACATCCAGGTGAACTATGCTTTCCAGTCTCTGGTAGTAGAGGACAAAAAAAGAAGAATGATGGGTAGTAACTGCAGACTTCATGTGATCCAGCAACCCCACCTTCCATCTAATGAGGCATGTATGGCTCAAAAAACTGGCATCTCAAAAGCTTCTCTGCTCATGAGCTGAGTTTGATGGGCTCATGTAGCTGGCTCAAGCTTGACTCACTCTTTCATCCTTCTGAGGCCAATAAATTGAACATCCAGCCATCAGGGAGGGGGCTGCATTACGTAGTCTGCATAATTAAAGTTTGAACCATCCAGAGAATGGTTTAAGCACTAGGGGATGGTATATAAGCAGTACACTTTGTATTATTTGCCTCTGGACCTGCTAAGATTACTGTAAATTTAGCTCCTCTAAGCAGCCCTCTGTTAGAGGACCCACAGGGCTGTATGCATGATCCTTCATCCTATGTGAGTCTTTTTTTTTCCTGTCTTGCAGAATTCTTCAAAGCAAGTAGAATAGGGGTGAATGAATCTGCTGACCTTGTTAGGGCCAAAGTAAGCTACTTGATGCTTAGCCTATTCTCAGGTAATTTAGGAGTGTAATATGTGAGAACTATGTAGCGTAGATCTCTCTCGACTGCTGCCACCACCTTTTTCAACCCTAATATTTCGCACGGATGGTTTTCCACTGAGTTTTCCTTGAGGCCATGCAGTTAGTATGAAAAGGTTTGTCAGTGGGTCAAATGTTGCTGTATTTAGTGATGCAGGTGATGTTTACTGACAAGGAGGTCTAAATTGCACTGGATCGCATTATATGTTGCTAATTAAATCTGACTGTATATTCTTAAAGCAGTGATTCAACATAGTAATGGTTGGACACAAAATGTAATAGAAATTCACCCTAGAGTGAATTTTAAACTTACATTGAGTTTTACATGCTTGGTTTATTATAAATCACTTTTTATAATTCAGGTTTGACAAGCTTTAGCAGAGTAAGCGAGTAAGAAAATAAAGATCAGGACAGTTTTATTCCTCCTCCACAAGCTGCAGTGATTATTTTCTTTTGTGTAAAAATCAGTCTTATTCAAAAGTTGTGGGAAAATGCCTCTTTTGGGGGAAGGAGACAGGCTTTCGTGTCTGTGAGCACTTTTTGTGAACTGCCTTGTTTTTTTCCACCTCTGCAGATAAATCTTCTCATTTCTTGAGGCTGGGGGATGTGGAGGTCAATGCTGGCCAAAATGCTACATTCCAGTGCATTGCTACAGGGAGGGATGCAGTGAATAACAAGTTATGGCTGCAGGTAAGACTAATTCACTGTCGTCCATTTGTGGGCTTATTTGTGGTAAAAAATAAAAAAAAAGGAAGATATTCTAGTTCTTTTGTTTTTATGTATAGCCTCCACAATTAACTTATAAACCACCCAGAGAGTGCTTTAAGTGCTATGGAACACTATATAAGCAACACACTTTTTTAAAAATCTAGGACAAGAAAAGAAACTGAGAATGCTTACTATTTTGTCATGTTCCTTTGCCACAGTCAAAATTTGTATGCAGTTTCCAGGCAGACTGAGATAACCATTCACCTTTAGGAGGCAGGTTCTTCCTCTGAGACACCTGGTCTGTAACTTTTCTTGAAGGACGAGGTGGTGGATGGGCCCAGGCGTGGCTAGAAGAAAAGTGAAACTGTCACTTCATCTGACATGGAATCTTGTCTTTCGCCTCAGGCTTCCTTCCCAGATCATTAGTTTCCCACCACCCATATGTGGTATGGCAAACATGAAGTCCTACTCATTGCTGCAGAACAGGAAGGAGGATGGATGGAAGGACCACACAAAGGAAAACTGCAGAGTTTGAAAGCATTCTTGCTGATATTTTAGTGCTAATGTCACTTTTTCAAAAAGTGATTTGTCACTCACTTGAAGCACACTTTTAACTTTTCAGTTTTTATTAGTTTTTAGAAATCGCTGATTTTTTTAAAAAAAAGAAGAAGTCCAAAATGCTCACAAATCTCCAGAATGAACTCTTAATCAATGTTTCTTCAAAGTACTGTTTAAGAGTTTGTTTTGGAGATAATGGGAGCATTTTGGACTTCTTCTTAAATAATCAGTGGTTTTTAAAAACTGATAAAAACTGAAGAGTTAAAATGTAAAGTTTAGATGTTACACTGAGAAACAGATCTCAACAGCAGACTGGCAGCAGTTTCATTGTTTTTCAAAGTAGTGGTGTTGTCCGTCGCATTCCCTCCTCCAATATGTTAGCAGTAATGTTAATCCTGAATCCAAATGGAGTCTGCAGCAAAGAAATAAGGAGAAGGTTGAGATTTGGAAGGGCAGCTATAAAGGAACTAGAAAAGAGTCTTAACTGTAAGGATGTGTTGCTGGAGATCAAGACTAAAATCATCTGTTCTGTGGTAGTACACACTGCTGTGTATAGATGTGAAAGTTGGACAATGAATAAATCTGATAGGAAGAAGACTGGTTTACTTGAAATGAGGTCTTGCAGGTCACCATGGATTGTCAGAAAGACAAATAGATGGATTCTAGCTCAAATCAACCCTGAATGCTAAGTAGGAACCAAACTGAGGCTACTGTACATTGAAGATACCAGCAGAAGACAAGACTCCCTGGAAAAGAGAATAATGCTAGGAAAAGTCAAACACAGTATCAAGAGAGGAAGATGTGACAATACATGGATTCACCCAGTAAAGGAAGCCGTGGCCTTGAGTTTGTAAGACCTCAGCAGGGCTGTAAGGCTGTAAGACCTTTTTGGAAGTCAGTAATTCATAGGATCAGTATATGTCAGAAACAACCTGAGTGCTCATGAACGTTCAGAGTGCATAATATAAGTTTAACTTTCATGTGTGATAAAGTATACATGAGGAATGCATACCTGTATGTGAACAAAAGCTGTTTACTACAAAGGTGTCCTTGCAAAGTGAAATAATGTTATTTTTGTTTTTATCATGTGATGTTGGTGTTATAGACTGTTGAGGCCAGCCAGTTTACTCAGGCCCAAAGCTTAATTCCATAGCATTTATTTTTTGCAGTTCTTTGCTGCTTTTCTCCTGACAGTGGGACTCAAGGCAGCTCAACGTAAGCTTGATTGCTTTATCTAAGAATATATTGTTAACTTTAGCAAGAAGTTGTAGATTCAAACAAATGCTGGGGAAACTGAGATCTTAAGTAAGCAGCTTTCTGGAAGGGGGAAAAAATCACCTGAACATCCAGCTAGTTACATGTGTCTGCCTTTTTTCCAACTGCCTGAAGTTGGTAGTATGCTATAATTTGGTTTTAGATGACAAAATAATGTTAACATGCATCTATGCAGCACAACTGACTTCACCAGTTCCAGATTTTGGGACTGGATGAGATAGAATTATATTTGTTCTTCCCCTCTTTCTTTGACTGGAGATTGGACATCATCCTGGCTTAGGAAGTAGCAGCTCTAATCAGTGGCAGTGACCTGCTTCCAAACTAAACCCTGATATTCTTTAACTAGTAAATTATTCTCTTTCTTGTACTTTCCTCATTTTCCATTGGTTAATGTATAAAAGCAAAGCTTAATGAGCACATGCATTACTAGCAACAATTATTCACGTTGTATTCTCGAAGGCTATCACAGTTGGGATCTGATGGCTGTTGTGGCTTTTTGGGGCTCTTTGGCCATGTTCTGAAGGTTTTCGGGCCAAAGAGCCTGAAAAACCCACAACCACCAATTATTCACATTGTCAGAATTTCTACTGAACAAGGAATAACTTTTAAAAAAACTACCTCTTAAACACCACATACTCATTACGGGCTGAGTGCCAAAGTGAACACCGTTTAAAAGAACCTGGTTGATTGTTATAGATGAGACAGTAACGATGACAGTCTGCAAGTATTAATGTTCCCCACTCTGTCTGATCCAGGGAATTGCTGGATCACACTCGGTTAAAAAGGAGCCAACTGGAATTTTCTGTACTACTTGATCCTCCATATCAGATAGCTGACAGGTTATTTCAAATATTTCTCTCTAGGGAAGATTGTTAACAGACAAATCTGATTAGCGAACATATGTTTTGCCTGAAGTGCACAATTGGATATTTCCCCCCCTTTGGTTAAGAACAACAAAAATATTTTATGCGTTCCAGATTTCTGCCCACCAGCAGAGGTTTACAAAATAGAATATAACAAATGGTCCAAAATAATAGGTATTAATAAGACAAATAAAATATGATAATCCCTCTGAATATCGGACTCCGAAACATAAATCTGGAGATCCCAGCCAAACGTAAGCATAACCGAACACCAGAAAAATATGGCAGTCTGTCAAAGCCAGATGGAATAGGAATGCTTTCACTACTTTCCTTAAAGTTCTGCACCAGCCTTGGTGACATGTTTCATAGGAAAATGTTATGTGTAGGAAATGTAGCCACTGAGGGACTGGACAACACGCTTCCTTTAAATCTGAGAGTGAAATTATGCTCATAATCTTGAAAGCTGGTGCATCTGTTTCCTTGAAACCTTCCAAAGAAATGTTGCTGATATGTCCAAAACAACATTTTTAGGCAAACCAAGCATAACCTTTGCCCCGAAGAGATTATAGGTACTGAAACTAGGGCTAATTTTCATTTGTTAATTCACACTGGATAGTCTTAGTCTCGTTCTTTGTTCCATTCTATTCTCATTTCACTAACGACAAATTTAGTGCTTTCTGAGAGGCATTTATTTGGTTTCAATTTCTTCAAAGAGACAGTTGAGCCTTCTAAAGTGGCCAATGTGGCCAACGCACTCAAGGCTGATGGCTAGTATATGTATGTGCACCTTACATATGTATATGTAAGGTGCTGTAATTGTAAATACTGCCATGCCACTTCAGAAGGTAGGTTATATGTAGCCTGCAATGTTGAAAGTGCCATTGAAAATTCTATCCCTTGAAGGTTGTCTTGCAATTTTCAGATGAGGATTGTCCTGTAGAATTAATATAACTTGCACATACAGTATGTGCTGAACTGTAATTGACCAGAAGTGGTCTGCCAAGACAGCATGGCTGCTGAAATTGTAGGAAGAGAAATACCTTTTGCTGCTAGATGGACAGAACCTAAAGTGATTCAGGGAAAAAAATGGAGCAAAATAAGGCTGGTTGAATCAGAATGTGGATGCCAATTGTTTGTGCATGCCAAAAGCTAATGGTGCAGACTCAAATCTGGGAAAATGAATCCATCTTCTGAAAAAGGCAATTCCATTTTAAATGAAAAAAATGAGTAGACAAAACTCCCCATATAAATTTACTGAATTGCTTCATGATAGACTGTTTTAACATCTTGATCCAACTTTGTGAAAATGTAACTTCTATGGTTCATTTTTCTTCCTTCAGAGGCGCACTTGAGACAATGCCAAGTAACAGTGCCGTCATTTGGCACTTTAGCAAACTGCAGAAATGTTGCACTGCCTACTTGAGTCATGACTCATTTAACTAAATAGAAATTAGTTTTAGGATGATGGCGAAACTGATAGAATGGCACTGTCTAATACCTGTAAGCAACTATGACTAACTTCTGGAACTGCTAATTTATTTACTGTGAAAAGTTGCCAATCTTATGGAGAAGACTTATTACAGTGCCAGAATCTAACAGGTTTTTTTTTAAAAAAAAAAAAAAGAGGGGGGGAATGAATTTGAGGACTATATTCTATTTTGTGAATTGAAAAAAGTATTCTTTTTAAATAATAATTTATTCTGAGTTAATGATTGTAAGAATTTATGGCTTAGCACTCTGGAAATTTCTTGTGCAGAAACTGAAATATTATAGATGCAGTAGGTATTATTTATTTTCCATATACGTTTATATTCTCTGAGCTGCAGAAATACAAGTTATGAGACATTTCAGTGGATTGTTAAGCACTGGCAAATACTTTGTTGCATCCCCACACCAGTGAAATGAGAGTGACATCACCCCAATAGCAGGTTGCGGACTTGCACACAATAACCCAACAATTCTAGGTTGTGTGCAACCTACAATTGCAACAGGAACTCTTTAATTAGCAGCTATCTGCTGCTGGCGGTGACATGATTCCTGTTGAAGTGATGGAACCATACAACAGGATTTGGGCCTGATTTACTTTTTTTACTTGATTTTCTTTCTTTCAATATTCGGTCCCAAGGTCCCAGTTTTCAACTGTATGGTGAGCTGTATATATTTTTTCTGCTTATAATAATGATGTCTAATTGTGGCACTATTTGTATATATTAGATTTAAATTTAATGCATAGGTGTTCTATCTGTTCTATCGGAGGCCTAACTAGATCACTTCTATATAAAGGCA